AAAATATTGTTGGCCACGTGAGACGTGAATTATAGTGTTGTTATAGAGCGACTGTTTAAATTAAGTGTATCGTAAAGTTGTATTCGGAATAAAATAAACCAGTTTTATTAAGTAAAGGACTTGTGTCGCTAAAGTTACGGAAAATTAATTAACGAACGGAGACGTAACAATACTTTAAATAAGACAACAGTTACGTACGATATAAAAATTATATATTATTTGACAACGATTTCATAATGTCTGTAAATTGTATCGGTTGTCTTGGTGCACCTTTAATTAGGCTGCTAACATTTTGTTCTTAAATTAATTTACTCTGTTTATCTTAACTATAGTTTCTATCCGTTTTCAGAAAATAGTGACGACATTATCACAAGTTTCAAACCATTACTCAATCAACCCAGTAAGGCCCACTTTGACTTGACAGGTAAGGTTTCGATAAGTGGGATAACGTGATTTTTATTACTGGAATTAATGTAATTCTTTCAGAAGGTGTTTAAAAGTAATTAGAACTTTAATTAGTTGTTCTAACGAATAACCCTTGCATGACAATAATGTAGGAAAAATTACAGGTTTACAAAGGACATCTTAATATCATCAATGTAAATACTTCCCCCAAAATCCTTGGTATAGATGAGTACGTATACCGTGAATATAATAAACATAGTAACATAATTTCACATGTAAATAATTCAACACCAAGGATAGTTTGTTTGTTTGTTTTTGAATTTCGCGCAAAGCTACACGAGGCCTATATGCGCTAGCCGTCCCTAATTTAGCAGTGTAAGACTAGAGGGAAGGCAGCTAGTCATCACCACCCACCGCCAACTGTTGGGCTACTCTTTTACCAACGAATAGTGGGATTGACTGTCCCTTCAAAACGCCCCCCATGGCTGAAAGGGCGAGCATGTTTGGTGGGACGGGGATTCGAACCCACAGATTGCGAGTCGAGTTCCCTAACCACTTTTCTCATACAGTATTAGTACTCAAAATTAACAATATTATTTAAGTGTCATCTCCTGATAGAAATCTTACGTTTATAATTTTGTTCAAGCAAGTTAAAGTTTTTATACTCGGGAATTATCACTTGTAGTGGTAGTAGTTATTTGAGGTCAATAATACGCATAATCGGTTTTATTTTAATCTACCGAAGTATAGTTTTTTAAATAAAAGTATAGAAACTGACTGTTTAAATAAGGTTTCAATTATCTTTACGTAAAACCTCTTGTTTTATTTTAATCTACCGAAGTATAGTTTTTTAAATAAAAGTATAGAAACTGACTGTTTAAATAAGGTTTCAATTATCTTTACGTAAAACCTCTTGTTTTATTTTAATCTACCGAAGTATAGTTTTTAAATAAAAATATAGAAACTGACTGTTTAAATAAGGTTTCAATTATCTTTACGTAAAACCTCTTGTTTTATTTTAACACAAAAGCTTACTCACTACGAGTTGTCTCCACGGTAAAAATGGGTAAGAAAGAAACGAATCCTCTTTTATTCCTGTTCAATTGATCTTATATCTTGCTGCTTATTAAAACTTAACTGTGTATATTTTTGTATGTGTTATAACTATGTATATCAGTGTTCACATGCTTCCTAAACCTTTACGTTACAGATCTGTATAATAACCAGTTTTCTAGAGTTCATGGTGGTATTTCTACTGTCATTTCTCTGTCAATTATTACAGTAATTATTACATTGAAGCTAAATGTAATCAAAAAAATTCATTTATGTTTGATTATCTGAAGTTGTTGAAACCTTATATTGGTAGCTTTCATGGTTTTATCTATTTTTTTTTTCTCCAGTGGTTAAACTTGCAATGAAAAGAATAGGTTAAGAAATAAATAAATACCTAGAAATCACGACACATAAATAATTTTTATGTAGCACGGCTGCAAAAAAACTATGATCGTGTCATAAAGCTAGCTTCTAAAGGTTTAGACGAACGATGGCCAGAGCTGCAAACCTCAAGCAAGACGTCAAAAGGAAAATAATAGTGTTTTTTTTATTATTATTTCAATGACATCTGTATCTATTTCACTGTTATAATAATACAGTGTTTTTTTGGTATTTCAATGACATCTGTATCTATTTCATTGTACAATAATATAGTGTTTTTTTTGGTATTTCAATGACATCTGTATCTATTTCATTGTACAATAATATAGTGTTTTTTTTGGTATTTCAATGACATCTGTATCCATTTCATTGTACAATAATATAGTGTTTTTTTTGGTATTTCAATGACATCTGTATCCATTTCAATCTAGTACTTATTCAATAAATACTTTTTTCAGCGTAACAGATTAAAAATGTTTTTAATACTTGTGAGTTCTGGCTTAATGTATTATTGCTATTATGATATTACCTTTTTTATTATTATTATTCTCCAGAGTCACCTGGAAGTACATTTTAAAGAGATAGTAAACCTACCCAGTAGTCTGTATTAAGTCTGATGATAAACATAGCATGACATTGCTCTAATAAAGTTGTCAAAAAACCAACCCCCCTGACAAAAACTCTATACGTATATGGACTAACCTAATATTAGTAAATTATTTCCAGTCATAGTTTTCTGGTAACTTCTTTTTTATTTGACTCATTACCTATTATATAAGTTCTTGGAACATTAGGTGTGACTGGCAGACTTCCATTTTTTTATTTTGCTGTTTTTTTATGTAACAAGAGAGGGGGATTTTTTTAATCAATTAGGAAATCCAACTACCAGTACCGTAGTAAGTTATAACACATATATAAATGTTAAAAAATATTTCAAAAACTGTCACAGAAGATGTTCAACATATTTTTCATTCTCAATCAGCACATGAAAATTATCCCCGTGCAATGCGTCATATATTCTGGAAAATGTTTATTAATCCTCCTAACCTCCTGTACAGTGACACAATTAGAAAGAAGTGAAAGCCATGTAATGCCAGCCTGTGAAAAAAAGTAATATAATACAGTTCTTAAGTTGATGTAGAATGTCATTCCACTAATAAAATAAACAAATAAAGATTTCATCGCTATTGTTAACAGAATGATGCAAACGAATAAACCTTTTTTTTTTGAGTAAGAAACTTCACCGACTGATTTAATACCCTCTTAGTGTCAAATATTATCTATATCAACCGTTGATAAAGTTCATTTTTAGTTTGTTGTAAGCAAAGTTACAGATAAGTTTTAATTTCTATTTCATTAGTGACCAATAAATGAGGTAAGTAAACTTACGCTACATTTATTTGAGAGTACAACGTAACGTCTGGCACCTCTAACACCGTTGTCAGTTTTCCTCACATTTGCCCGTAGCACCCTGTATTACGCCCAGACACTTGTAAATAACACTTATAATTCTCGACAGAAAGCCTGTTACCCCCCCCCCCCAGACAAGTAATTTTTTAAGTTTTAACCTTTTAAATGTTTGTTTTCCTTCTAATCACCTTGTACAATACAGTAATTAACTCTCTTGTTAACTAAGTACAAATAACTAAACAATGGATATTTTACAAGCATTATTTATTGTGTTTAAAATGTTGTATTCGCTATAGCTGTATGATTTAACGGTTATTTTTTACTTCAATACTTTTAATATTAAAATTTAATATCATATCTGTTCATTTTACAGCAAAACCACACTAGGCTATTCATTGTGTCCACTGCAGAAAATCTAACCCCAGATTATGGCATTGTAAGTTTGTTTGTTTTGAATTTTGTGCAATGCTACACGAGGGCTATCTGCGCTAGCCGTCCCTAATTTAGCAGTGTAAGACTAGAGAGAAGGCAGCTAGTCATCACCACCCACCGCCAACTCTTGGGCTACTCTTTTACCAACGAATAGTGGGATTGACAGTCACATTATAATTCCCCATGGCTGAAAGAGCGAGCATGTTTGGTGTGACAGGGATTCGAACCCGTGACCCTCAGATTGTGAGTCGAGCGCCCTAACCACCTGGCCATGCCGGGCTAGCATTGTAAGTCCATAAACTTACTGCTCTCCCACCAGGGGACAAATTTTACTATTTAATGTCTAGAAGCTTACTTATTAAACATATTAAACTATTTAATCCACTCAGAGAGTGATTAAAAGTTATTATTATAGCTCTAGATAACTCTGGGACTTCTATCTAATATTCTGTGTAGGTAATAAAAATATTAAAACATTTTTTTACCAGCTAGTAAAATTGGAGCTAAATAAGATACGTTTTTGGTTGAAAAATATGTAATTTATTACAATTATAACAGTTGGTTAAAGAGATATACATCTGATATTTTCAACTTCTCACTCCCTTTACACATTACTTCAGTTGTCTTGACAAGTTTTATAAAGTGTAGGTTTTGGTTTTCTTATCCATAGCTCCAGGAATATCGTTATGGCTGGAAACATCTGGGTTAAATCTGAAAAAAAAAAAAGGAAAATAAAATATGAAACAAAACATATAGTTAAAAATAAAATGAACTTTCAAACTTCTACACCAAACAGCAGCCACGGTTACAACCAAACAGCAGCCAAGGTTACAGCCAAACAGCAGCCTCGGTTACAGCCAAACAGCAGCCTCGGTTACAGCCAAACAGCAGCCTCGGTTACAGCCAAACAGCAGCCTCGGTTACAACCAAACAGCAGCCGAGGGT